CAAACAAACAATCTTTCACTGACCACGATATGAACAAGAATGATGTAAAAATTATTTGAAACTAAATTGCATTTCAGTGAGCATGAATTTCTCAAAGACTGTCATAACAAATATTTCAGAAGTCCTTTTATTGTTTCATGATTCTGGTTTACTCACTCTGAATTCTTTGTATAATTCTTTGATGACTTTCTCTTTTTCAGGAGACACTACAAGGTTACTACGCATAGTATGATTTGCACAACACGGTCAGTTTTATTTGTTTGTTTGTTGTTAAGCACAAAGCTACACAATGGGCTGTACTCACCATGGGTACCGAAACCCATTTTTTAAGCGTTATAAGCCTTCCGACTTACTGCTAAGCCACGTGGGGTGGAGAGATTGGCCAAATCGGTTAGTAAGTCCATGAAAATCAGTAGCTGCCGAGATGTTCGGCATTTTTCTCATTTTATATGAATTTAGCTGGTGCATTTTGGGGCAGTTTTCTATATTTGGTTTATTATCGAAAAATAATATTTATTCTATAGTAACTGAATTGACAACTCGGTATTACAATAACATTATTGTTTTAGTTTTCATAAGTTCAAACGAATATGAACGCTTATTGACATTCGAGGCAAATTAACAAATGCAAGTTAGTGGAAGAAAAACAATTATCTTAACATATTCACTTCCTTAAACAAATTTTGATAATCTCATTATATGTAATTATATTGTTGTTGTTTTTAAACTGTTACAATATCCCTTTAACGATTGGCGTGATAACAGAAATTTTGATGAGATCTGATACTGTATGATGTCAGACTTAATTTTGAATTATTTAATTTTAAAAGATTGTTTTCAGAAAACTTATTTTTTCATATAATATTGAATCTCATCATCATTTAACCAGAAAAATTCGAAAATATTGTTTTATGATTATATATTTTGCTTGTTTTGTTTGCTTGATTTTTAGTTTTTAAGCGCAAAGTTATACAATGGGTTATTTGTGCTTTGCCCACTATATCATTGTTTGTTGTTGTTGTTGTTTTTTTCAGCAAGGTTGAAGATTTATGAAAAGTTTAATAATCTTCCTTTTATTTTTTATTCAGAATCTTTACTTACAGGTGTGACATTCGGGCTGTATGTTTACTTCCTGTTTTTAGTTACATAGGAATTTAAAAAATATTTGTTTGTTTAGTTTCTATGGAGTTTTAGCATAACCATGTGGTTCAGAAAGTCGTCCAGGTTTCCTTGTTCTCTGCAGCAGATAATGTTTATTCTGCCGGAAGGGATATTACAATAACATGTATCATTTGTGTTGAAAGGATTAGTGATTGTGATATCCTCTTCTGGCCGAATTGACAATATCTGTGTATAAAAGCCGATTAATGTTGTGAGAGAACAAGGGGTCATGAAATCTTTGAACTAACTATGACCGGCTTCCACCCCTTGGCATGTAACAAGCCTATAAGTGAACTTAAGGCGCTTTATTTAAATGTCCATCGTTTAACCTAGGCCGGTTGTGGTCTAGTTGGTTAGCATGCCGGCTTGTGGACCCGAGGATTTGTGGCTCGCGTCTCGATGGCTCAACAATACGCTCACTCTGTTTGTTACTCTGTATATATAATGAACAATATGCTGCACCCGTTCAAGAAGAAAACCGGAAATCACTTCTACTACTGTTTCCCATGGCAGACAGAGTAGCTTAACGGGTTGGTGTGTTCGTTTATACTCGGTTTCAAGAGAAGTTGATAAAAAGTTTAACAAAATGTCTTTTCTTTGGTGGTCCCCCGATGGAACAACGGTAATTTTACGAACGTACAACACTAAAATCCAGGGTTTGAATCCTCGCTGGGACGTAGCATATAACCCAATGTAGCTTGGTTTTATAAAAAAGTTTCCTTTGGTAACTCATCTAAGAGGCTTGATTAAAGTTAATCCTTTCCATGCTGAGCTTCACCTTAGTGACTAACAAATCTATTCGTTTGAGAAAGGCTTAGCACCTTTCGGTGACGCACTATCGGAACATTGATTGAAACTGCTTTTACTAATTGGCTTATTTTCTTGCACGATTTCTCTTTGATGAACGACTAGAGCAACCAATTACAAGATTTCGGTTCAGTGAACGACTTGACCAACCAATTACAAGATCTCTGGTTGTTGAGCGAGTAGACCAAACAATTAGAAAACTTTTGTTTCGCTAACGACTGGACCAACCAATTACGAAAATTTTTATTGGTGAACGATTAGACCAATCAATCAGAAAATTTCTGTTTGATGAACGACTAGATCAACCAAATACAATATTTCTGCTTGATGAACGACTAGACCAACCAATTACAAGATTTTTGTTTGTTGAACGACTAGACCAACCAATTACGAGATTTTTGTTCCGAGCTTACTTTCAAATATTTTTCGGACGGTGATGTAAAATGAAGTAATCACAATCCCTTTCATAACCTCAAGCATAAATCTTAAAAAAAATTAAATATACATTGTTACAATTTCCTGACCAAAAAAAATAGAGTATTAGCTGAGGATTTCTTTTAAGAGGATTTTTTAAATTAAAGTGTAAAATTATTATTAATTCAGCAAGAGAACAAAAAGACCAAAAAACTATTTTATGGTTGGATGTAGAAAATATGGAGAGTTGTGAAGCCAAAACCACACATATTTTTAGGCATAAGCTAGAAGTCCACAGAGTAATCATTTATAATTCTTTTTAAAGCAAATGTTAGTAAACGTTCTTCGTGAAATTATTAAGATTTTGAACAAAATAATAAAAACAGTAGTCTTAATTATGTTTAACAAATCAACCACAACCAGTGATATGCAAGAACATGCAAAAGCATTTATTATAAAAGAGACAAATCTAGCAGATACATACAATAGCAAAAATCGAAGACAAATTTCCGGAACTAGAGAAACCAAGAGCTTTACACGAAGATAGGAGTATATTACTTATTCTTTATACCTAATATTTTACAAGTAATATAACATATCCAGGCAGATAGACTAAATACGAGAAGTTTAAAACAACTTGTAGCTCTTGATAAATATGAACAGGTCGTAAAACTGAATCATTTAAATCAGCCTAATTAATACTTTTATACACTTTCTCCAAAATCGTTGGTCTTCTATTGTGCATATCCATAAGGGACTTTGATAATTTTGTACCTTTGAACAGGTTTTGGTGCAACCTTAACTTGTTTGATCTCTGGGGACTCTTCAACTTTAATTACAACATTTGCAGGATTGGCGTTCGCAGTGCCAGGTTCGTTGGTCTCAATCTGAGATTGGAAACCGTCAACGTTAGCTGTGTACTGTACTCGTCGGTAGATGCCATTAGCGTCCAAGTAGCTGTAACTTCCGACCACTGCACCACTTTCATCTCCGGACTCCTGGCGGGTAATGATATTACCATCATCGTCTTTAATCTCGAAGTTAAATTCGAATGGTTGAGGAGTCTCCTGCAATTAGCAAAGAGGAACTCAATAGTGGTGATCAATTAGAATTAAATAAATGTTTTTATCACCAATTAGTGGTGATTAATAATAATATGAAATTATTATTTTTCTATATTATTCAATGCAACTTCAATGTTAGTAGTACTTCACTAAGAGAAAGAGAATTATCAATGCTATAAGGTGATTATGAAAAAAACTCATATTTCAAATGGTTATTTCCTATAATCTACTTTTCCTAGGGAATCAAAATTTTACCAGAGTCACATTGGGAATTATAAGTTTTAGATAGGAACGTATAAACATGTAGAGTGTTTCAAATATTACCACGAAAGATGTTTAAGACGCTTTCCGCCATTTTCAATCAGCATATCAAATCTATCCCAAAATGTAGCTATTGAAAGCATCATCTGTACCAGACAGTAGGCCCGGCATGGCCAGGTGGTTAAGGCACTCGACTCGCAATCTGAGGGTCGCGGTTTCGAATCCCTGTCACACCAAACATGCTCGCACTTTCAGCCGTGGGGGCGTTATAATGTGACGGTCAATCCCACTATTCTTTGGTAAAAGAGTAGCCCAAGAGTTGGCGGTGAGTGGTGATGACTAGCTGCCTTCCCTCTAGTCTTACACTGCTAAATTAGGGACGGCTAGCGCAGATAGCCCTCGTGTAGCTTTGCGCGAAATTCAAAAAACAAACAAACAATCAAACTAGACAGTATTCGTTGATTCTCGCTACAACGTACACACTACACGCAGTTCATTCAAATCACCAATCTCATAGTTTTGAAAAAGAAAGAAGAGAAATAAAAGCAGTACTAGTTTGCCAGAAAAAGACGATTTGAGTATGCAATAAAATATAGTCTTGAAACAATCTATGCATTGTCCAGACTTTTCTGAATAAAACTTAAGATTCTCACTTTGTCTCTGGCAAAAGTTTTTTATAATCATATGGCATTTAAGATTTTCTTTGTAATAACACTGTATATCTCGTACAAATTATCATTATGTGCCACATGTCTTTTCTATTTATTAAAGTAAATTATAATTTTTTTCTGTTTTATTGATTTGATAAAAAAAAAGTCCCAAAAATAAGAAAACATTTGAATATTTTTCATTTTTACGCTTACGCTTAAGGGGTCTAGAGTTCCAAAATTTGACATCTAATTAACGATGTGGTTTTGTTATAACTATTTTCATCACAGATTGTACGAACCTCTGGAGCAGGAGGAGAAGGAGGAGCAGGAGCGTAGGATGGTACTTGAATCAACTTAATGTGTTGAGGTCCATATCCTTGTGGAACAGCAGTACTCGCCACAACAAGGAGAGATAAAACTAAAGTCTATAAAAGAAGTTAAAAATCGAAAAAGACCGTTTCTATAATGTTTTTAGCTTGAATTCTAGCATAAAAAACATTAAAGTTTTTCAAGATAGTATGAGTGATATAATAATTTGAAAAATATGTTATTTTTATAAAAAATATTACTCTAATCAGGAAAGTCAAGAAAAGTTTTTGGAGCGTTTAGTAACTGAATGATAGGTGAATTTTAACCATAAACAGTTTAGTGTATCTAGCATCATTAGTATAAACTACATCTAAGAAAATCTAACTAATTCATTTGTTCTAATTTCATGAAATAAACACAAATATAGCTTTATATCCCATAATTTCTTCTGAGTTCAGTTTAGCACTAGGTAACAATTTCAGGGATTGTACAGACAGGCGCTGACTCCTCATGTGGATACTGATTGTTTCGCAGGAGATAGGAGAGAGAGTTCCTTTAC